AAGGGATGGTTGGCAGTGATTACGCAACAGGCAGGATTGAAACATCATGACACGAAGGTAAGGAAACATAATCTGCTGAGGGTAAAGTAATCAAGTGCGCAAATGTGTGGCTTAAGCGTTAGAGTACTTTGTATTCATTACACCACCGAAATATCTGTAGTTTGTGAAGTTGTCCCCCCTTTTCCAACATAGATGTAAATATCCGTCCAGCACTAGTCTTTGATGCAGGTCTTCCCTTTATCTAATTAGAATTGACGCAGTTTTATTTCCACTTTTGTAAGTAAATCGGCAAGTTTGGTACTACCTTTACCAAGAAAATTCTTTTTTTTTACTCGCATAGCTAATCAGATGTGACAAGGTCAAAAAATGCCCTAACACTCGAGAGATTAATAATTCAAACACCTTACACTAATTTTTGCTTTGCTATTGCTGCATAATGCAAGCATGCAGGAGCGGTCCCTGTCATTCACAAAAATGTGAAAAAGTAGCACAGGATGTGTGGGGAGGTGGGTAGTGCAAAGCGTAAAACGGAGGAAGACCTCAATAGTACATGCCTGGTGTTTCCGACACGCTTCACAGATGCAATGATTAATTCAAGCATGCGACTCAATTCTCGCCTCCTATTTATCACTTAATTTATTTTCCCCGTTACTTCACCCATTCTACTAAAATGCAAGTTGTCTCATCTACCCTCAAAGCACTGGAGCTTACCTTCGGTATGTTTGGTCGTACCACTAACTCTCTTAGTGGATTTGAGAGATGAAATGCTTACCGCTGGCCCCTCCACTAATGTTAACCATTTTGTTTGAAAGGAGGCTTTTACTGTAATTTCTTGCAAAAAGGAAAACAACCGGAATTTGAGACGGCGTGATTGCAGAGAGATGGTTTTAGCATCGGATTTGAAAAAACGCCGCAATATATCGCAATGACGTTCAAGTTTCCTTCGCGAACTCCTTGGTAATGTGACAAATATCAGGATCTTCTACTAGACTGAGACAGAATTGCCCTCCATAACGAAGTAAATGCGTATTTTAAGTCGTTTTTTTACTAAACTGAAGTGAAAGGTGAATCCTCGACCAAAACTTTGCACATTAACCAATAATCAGGAAAACCGGAAAAAAGCCAAGACCAGACTTTTAGATCCAAAATGAGCTTGTGATAAACTGACACAATTTGACCATTTAACTTTCTTGGCTAGTAAGGAAGACTTGGGCACCTTCAAGTCAGCAGAATCCTGGACGAAACACTTTTATTGCTTGGATAATTCACCTTTCTTCTGGACGCATCGAACTTCTGCTCGATCAGTCCCAAACTTACAGTGGTGGTATTTTAGCTACACCGGCCCTAATGCAACTATGCTTGCGAGCTTAATAGTATTACTTTCCTGACTTGCCAGGTGGGGAAACTGAGGTTGACAAAAGATTGACGACCCAGTTCCATAATTTTACCTTCACATTCTTCGACAAAGCATAGCAAATTAAGATTTGTCATAATTTAGCCTATTTTAACCCCCAATTTTGGGGACCATCGCAAGCTAGTGTTCTGTCAACCGCTAAATATGAGGCGAAACACTTCTTCGATACTGTCACTAGATTTGGTGCAGTAATCGATGCGTAACATTGTTGTTAGATCCCGACACACTGCAGTACCCATATTTGATAGCCCTGCCAATCAGGCAAGGAAATGACACCCATTGTTGATACAGAATTGGTTAATGATAAAGCAGCGTCAAAAGCTTAAAGTACTAGGTTAAAATAATTTCTTCCTTCAGATAATGCTGTGAATGAGTGCTCCACCCTTGCATCCCATAATTACTTACAACACCGATCACGAATTCACGGAGAAATGCTGTTGACTTGAAATGCAGGATCCATTTTTACTGATCTAGTTCCAACGAGACTTGATGTATCAAATTAAACCTCAGGATTTTCATTTCTTCTATGTTGGTCTTTGTACTACCCAGCATTTCTTTCCATGAAGTCTTTGCGATCAAACATGTTTGCAAATGTATTGCTCTGCTTAGCTCATTCATCACTTTGTGCTTTTAGGTCGTCAGATAATGTCGAGGAAACTTTACCTCAATATGTCGATGGGCTGCATGTGTGTATGTATTATAAGGATAAAAAAGCAAAAATATCTTTAGACCGATTTCGCCTTATTGACAAATCCCATTTAGCTAAAAAGGTGTTGCGGCTTCGCTGGATTCAACTCCTTTCACCACTCCTGCATATGGAGCTTTATAGGAGGTAGAGGACTTGATTAGTCCAATCACCCTGCTGGGCTCCGTTTAGGCTAAAGTATGATAATTAACACCCTTTAAGTTCGTGGTCAATTGAACACCAGGAATTTATGCCAATATTTGCCTAAGTTTGCTGCACACCCCTTTTATAATGGATTTACCCCCAAAAAGGCACGTTCACAGCTAATCAATTAATTATTTTGACTTGCAAAATGTCTTTACTTCAGAGGTTTTCAGGCGCTAACATGACTAAGCAGGGTTGAGCAGGGCCAGGTAGCAGGAACAAATTGATGCAAACGCATGCGAAAACGATAATCAAAGATCAAAATGTGGAAAAATCGAATATGAGTGAGTATTGTCAAAGTTCCTATTAGCTACATCAAAATCGACTTTTATTAGATAAACCTCGAGGCAGGGCCTAAAAAGGAAGTGCTACTTTAAGGGAGACAAATTATAACAGGACACAAAGGGAGAATCTGAAATGATATAACGGAAAACCACTCACCCATTCCCATCCAAAGGAGTGGTGAATTTTTTCTCGACCACAATCTCCATTCCCAGTCTCGAACATTACAAGTGACTACCATAGCATTTCAGTAAAAAGGGATAATCATGGCTGTTGTGCAGTAAGTGCTACTAAAGTTGTTATTTTGTGAGTTCGAAGACTGCTTCATAGTACTGAAGCTATCAATCCCTCTGATGTGAGCGAAAATAAAATTTCGCCTTTGTACTTAGTCTGTGTTAACCTTTCGGAATCACATGCCTTCACTATTGACGTTGTTCCTCGTTCTGTCTCCGTCATGCATCAATCTAATCGGGTACCATTTGTTAAGAAGACGCATTATTCTTCCCCAACTTCTCAGCATTAGTAGTGAGGCAGAAGTAAATATCAGCTATTCCGTTGTCTCTGAGCGAAACAAAGCTGAATATTTAAACCAGCTGCCAATTCATTCTCGAAGTGAGAAATATCTGTTCCACAGAGTTGTGGTTCACTTCCCGCCTATTCCCCTAATAGCAATCACAAAAAATGACTTAACTTTATTTTCCGCTATACCCACTTCCATTAGCAGAAGAGTGCCAAAGGCTAAATACACACACGTACCTTATGATTTAGAAACAAAGCTGGGGCATGCACGTCTTCACAACGCTTTTTGATCACCTTTAAAATGTCCGTCGCTTTCGTGTTCTGAAAGTCTTCTTTCCCTCTTATCTTTCGCTTGTCTCTCTTATCGAAAATAAAAACTAGTAGAAGGTAAATTGAATGGATTTTGCAGAGCTTGGCAAGTCTACCGAAAGCACACATGCATGTACAACGGATTTTGCAAACTCATCTCAACATCAAGGCTTTGAACAAGAGGGTGTCACTTTCTGCACTGTTTACCCCAAGTATCCGGTAAAGTCAATTCTGACAACCACTTAAGCTTGTTGAAGTGCCATGCTATCAGTAAGCGAAGACTTTTATGCAGTGCTCCGAGTCTTTTATAAAACGAAAGAAGTCATAATACAAGGAACTACGATACACTTAAGACAAAATATAAGGTCTCATGGTCTACTGGCATGACCCGGTGGTCCTTTAACACCCGCTAAAGCGAAATAATGCGTTGAATAAATGCCCAACGTACTGCATTATTTGTAATTGCACGAATGCTTTACAGGATTTCCTGCTTTCACGATGTCATGCCATTTCTGTGAAGACCTTACCAGTCCTTCAATACTCATTTGTGAGTAATTCTCATGTAGAAGTTTTCGGCTTAAGGCGTTGTCATTAGGGGCTCTGATGTCAAAACTATGTGAAAAATAATTGCATTTTAAAATAAAAGAATTGGCACATTCATCAAATTGATAATTGCTTATTTGTCTACAGTTTGAACCGATAGGGATTAAAAGAACAGGCAGAATAGCTTGTGCTCTTGAGTGCCAATTATCCAACGAACAGTACACATGTGCCAAACCCTGTGATAATTAAAAGCTATGTAAAGTGGGTAAGATAGTGAATACATAACTTGTGTTTGCTCCACTACTTGCATAAAGCGTACACACCTACAGGGGAAGAGAAAAGCGAAGAATCAGAAGGGACACTTTAAGCTGGCCAAAAGGACACAGTGGAGAAAACTTGTGCCTTTACAACAAGTAAGGTCTGCTGACATGGATAAGCGGAAGAGAGGTGTGTGAATATTTATAAGTCTTCGCCACCTACACCGACTGTTGGTAATCATACCGATTTCTGTTTCCCTGTTCTCCGCACTAAAATGTAGGCAGTGCATCGGGTCGCTAATAATGAAGTGCAAATCACCTCGATACACTGCAGTACTCACCCACCTCTCACCTCAACCTATCGATAAGCTCTGTGCAAAACACAACTATTCAAGCATAATCTAGGGTGACCAAGTGTCATCGTGTCAAAAATAGGAGGATGTGAGAGTGACTGGGTAGAAAGAGGAACCCAATTTGCAAAGCAGATTCTGTGGTTCTCCCTCATTTTGTTATAAAAGTAGGGAGTCCTGTCTGCGGATGTCATGACTGTTAAAGTGACTAGCGTCCTAACAATGATAAAATTGACGTGAGAGGAGTGATCAGTGTCACAATAAACAATCTTCTACCAGCACAATATCACAGGTAGTTGCTAAGCGTTTATATTCTCAAAAAGAGTAAGGTGCCAAAGCACCCAAACAGCAACATGAATTGCTTTCATTTGTGCCTACAACATGAGCATGATTCTAAATGTGGTTGTGGATCCAGGGAATATCTCTCTATTTAATAAGAACAATGAAGTAATAATTTATGGAAGAAAACCGGATAAAGGGTTACCAAAATGCATCATCACGATTTGCAAAATAGCAAATAAACAAGTTGAATTTATTTTGTCTGATTACAAATTCCCCAGCGTACCATAAAGTGAATGGATAGCTATGATGGCCAGTCACAACCAATGGCTTAGTGTCAAGAGTTATCCGAACAGGCAGTGTGTGGAAGACATACCGATTACGTTAACTCCATTCACCAGCTAAAATGGCATTTTATATTTAGAGTTTGACCTCGGGTAATCAAAAATTACGCTGTAACCTGAAAGTCGAAAAAATTCTGGTAGAGCTTTAGAAAGAGGTAATTTGAACCTTTCTTAGTCACATACTTACTTAATCCCAGAATGTTCCACCAGATCCAGAATATCCTTTATTAAGCTTTATTTATACATGATCCCGAAAATCGATCCCTTTTAAATATGTCCTCGACGTTCTTGGCATTTTTTAGCTTTTTAGGCGGTCAACGGAAAAAAGCACTTATTTTGTTACTGTATTACTAGGATTTTATTAGATTAAGGTGGAGTTATCGCTCCACTATTAATGTTACCGAACATTTGACTAGAGCCTCTTTGTAAGTAAATGGGAATGGTTGACCCCACTCATTACAATTCTGCGCCGTCTTTGCCTCTCGTTCTTCAAACATGTACCCTCAATAACAATGGGCAAAAAGACCACACTCATTACAACCTGTAGATCTACTTCTTAAAGCATTTATCTAACTGCCCAATAAACTCGAATAGAAAGGCGTTGAAAGTAGAGAGAAGGAACATTTTGATCAAATGCTGACCAGGTTGATCCCGTACTATTATCTTACCGCTATGCAAAACCCCAGCTGTTGTAGGGCGCTTAAGCCACACTTCCCCATCCTACGATTTCATAATTCAGGAAGTAGATTTATTTCACTTAGTCTTAAGGAAATGTAATAGGTGTGTATGCACATGTTGGTATAGGCCTGATCACCGGTAGAACCACAGAACAGAGAAGTATTTCAAAGCGAAGCATAGGGTACCACCCTAATTTCGGTTTTCACTTTCTCTGTAAAGTAACTTTCTAGTAAATTAATTTGGCACATGTTGTTTGGTCGGGCACACTGCAAAATTTGGAATGCCCAAATAATTCCTAAGGCCGGAATCACACTGGGAACTGATTGAGTGAGAAGGTAAAGCAGTAACTGGTATGTGGGACATGATAGGCACTTCACGGTATACATGGTGCTTATCCACTGCAAAACAAGTGTAAGTCATCGTAACAAAGATACGCAAAAGCAAATGCAGTGAGCCGGTGTCACTCAATTTATAAATACCGAAAACTGTCAGGAATCATAAGGCTGATATATGAATTGATGTAAAAATGAAAAGAAAATAATTTTTACGTGTGCTGTAAGAAGCGAAATTTACTGCTACAGGTACTTTCTTCAGTATGGAGGTGAAAATTTATTCCTACTACAAATCGCTGGCGAAAGGTACTCTTCCCTTAGAGTTCGTGGGGTTGAGATTGAAAATCCTGGTACTCATCCACAACCTAGGACGGAGTCGGACTAACGGAGCTGTCACTCTGCTAATAAAAATATCAAAGTAGGGAGTTCAAATATACTTTCCCAGGAGAAGAATGCCTACCGACTGAATTTGCAAACAAATTACCCTTTTCTCAGGGGAGATACTTGAATACTAGACGTGACTGTATGCCTCTCACAACCCCCTAAGCAGTTCCATCGACACGCACGCAGATCTCTCTCTACCACTCAAACCTCTATGTCAATGCAATTGATGCAAAACTGTGCTTTTTGGAATAGCTAATAAAAACAAGGAGTTTCAATTTCTTGCGTGTTAGCAAAACACTTATCATGTTCTTACACATTGGAAAGATTCAATTTTAGCACCGAAACAAAACGGCGTTAGGCAAATTCTCACAGTCTTTTTATAGCACCCGTTCAAGCAATACATAAAAGGCAAAATCCAATTTGATTACATCTGTCGGAATGGATGATTTGCGTTGCGTAATCCGTGCTAGGTCAACTTTAAGAATTCTTTTTCTCCTACCCCCTTCAACTTTTAACATATCAAGTAGCCGGTGGAGGAGCACTCGACTCCCATAAATTTCGGAATGACATGCAGGCATTAAAACATAGGTAATTATGCAAATTCATTCACCAAGGTTTATTTTTAATGCCTTCCAAGTATAGTAAACTTATTTAACAACCTACAAGGTCGCAATCCATGTGACACAATAGTTGTATTTTCTTGTTACGCCATCAAACTTTCCATTTTTTAGAGCAAAATAGGGATAAGAGTGTAAAAAACCACTTTAAAATAACTTGAATTCAACAACTTCGAGTGCTTAATTTTGTCTTGACTCGCTTTTAGTAGGCATAATGTGATTAATAAACCCCGTATGTAACTGTGTTAAAAGTTACATTTTATTTCCAAATGTGCGGCTTATTTGGACCAAGATAATACTCGAAGTGCTGGTATAAGGGCTGTAAAATAAAATTGTAAGAAGGTTCACTAAATAAAGCATTTAATTAGGATTCAAAAGCTCAGTGAATTATAACCCAAAGGATGAAGGGATGTAATTAGCTAATTACCAACCACTCACCCATTTCAGACACACTTCTCAACCTTTCTTCCACATTGCAGGCCTGTGCAAACACGCCCAAAACAGGCGGGGTATAGCGCCTTTTCTGCGTTTACTGTTAAAGGATCAACAAGTATGGACGACGATTATACCACATAGCAAATAGTGAAAATTGCAAGAACATAAAACTTGGCTAGATGCGGTACGTATTATGAGGAGGGTGTCACATTTCTACCACAAGCATTAAAGTGTTCTGTAGAAGCAGATATGATAGGCATTTCTTCTATGCGAATTTAGACTCCTCAAAATGTAATTGCACTCCATTAGGAGTCTTCGAATAGTCGACGCTGTTTCAGCTTTCTTGCGATGAGTTTCTGTATAGCGGATGCCTCTCCTCATTAATGTTTGCATTGGATAATCACCCACCGAAATGAGAAACGTTGTTCACTTGAAGTCGGTTGCTTTAACTTTAGTACCAATGCAGCACGCCTAATGCATAAAGAGCATGGAAAAAATCATATTACCATGGTAGTGTTAGTCAGCATTTCCATTTGACTATTTAATGAAATGGATTAGCTGCCGCATATGCTTTGCAAAAGCATTGAAATATAAATTTATAACAAATCCTTACTTTGCAACATATCACCATCCTCATGGTGCATACTTGATAAAATTAATGGGCGATTCCATTTCCCTTTCATTCAAACGCTCCTTAGAAAGAATATGTGCTCCTTTGTATGGCTTATTTGGAAAAAAACTGACAGTTTATCGAGTCACGCAGGAAGAAATGGCTAACCAAGATGACACTTATTTAGGAGACAAAAAACCACTTCACAACATGCTATTGAAGTCAGATCTGTGTCTGAATAGTGGAATGCGATAGTTACCAGGTGGATTCAGGGGAAAGAGAATGGTGATGGTGGTGGGGCAAATAAAATGCGAACATGGAAATTCATGTTGTGTTGCGAAGGCCAAGGGAGTGTTGTAGAATGCCCAAACAACAGGACGATTATCAATTAGTTTGCTTATTTAGCGAAACAAAATTTAGGCTTCCCAACGTGGAATGGATAAAGGAATTTTCTAGTGAATGTAAAGGAATTTTGTCGTTCATTATTTCCTTAACCGAAAAGGCCAAATGTCCGAATGCGATAAGTTAGAAAACAAAGGAGGAAAGTCCGCTTTAAGTGCATTAATTAAAACTAGATTTCATCGCTTAAGTTAAAGCTAGCAAATGGAACCAGCTGCCGCATCCGAAGACAATTGACAAAGACCGTCACCATAATGCAATCATAAGAATATCTTTTGTCTCCATTCAGTGGAGAAAATTAATGGCCAGTCATATAATGAGGATACAGTAGGAACTAAACAGGGAGATCAATGTATAATCATCGGAATGCATACTTCCAACAGGTGCACCAAAAGTGGTGAATATGCTAGAAGCGGTCATAATTTTGGCATCACACATGGAATGAAAGTAAAAAGCAGAAGATATTGAAAGTATGGATAAATTCGTAGGGACGGGAACTTACCCACTTGGCTTTGGCTTCAAAATGAAGTAGCCTTCTGCCATAAAATTTTCCTTAATTTCATCAGTGACAGCTTAGTGAAACGCCATCATTTCCTTACCTCTTAGCCAAAAGTGCACCTGTAAGGTAGAATACCCTCTCCACAGGAGAAAGAAAGTGGGAGAGAGGCCACTCTTAAGACTCAAGTGGTGCGTCAATATATTGGATTTACGAGCAGCACTTCCAACAAATCTCGTGATGTGACTAATCTCCATTGAAGGAACGAATAATGCGTCATCTTCTTTTCGATCGGGATCTCTTAAAGAACGGTCAAATGGGCAATGCTTCTGCAAATATGAACGAGCTATGAATGCTCCTATCACCTAAATTCTTTATCATGTCCAAGCATGTGGATTCCTTATATTGTGCGGTGTCATGTTGATAGCAGGTATCACTCCTTTGAAATGGGAGGATATGAGAAGGATTTTTGATGCATGCTTCTTTAATAGAAGTATAAAAAACGAACTTGGTCGCTACCGAGGAGACTTTCAGTGGGATGCGGCAGAAATTCGGAAGTGAATCCTTGGCATGCGAGATGTGACTTTCATTCTTCCGTCATTGACTTTAATAGCGGTCCCTTGGAACCAAGTTTTGTTACCGTTAAGGATCAGTAATGGAATGTCTGAAAACATTGTTGAAATGTATTTTTAGGAGGCATGTACATCATTGCAAAACAAATAGAAATCTATGAAAACTGATCCAATTCTAAGGCTCTGTGTGCACAAAAGTAGCATCAGATGGTATTTGTGGATGTCGATACCACAGGATCATGGAGTATCCGACACATTAATATGATATTCCTCTCAAATTCACTGGCTTTTCTTTCATTCCGAATTACATTAAACATTGTTTGTCAGTGAATGCTATATGTAGGGGCTAGCCCACTCACTGAATCTCTCTTCAAATTTTCCAATAAAACTATTATTGTAAAATGGACCACCAAATTAGTAAAGGGGATTGGATAGACAACATAATGACTTACAATTAAAGCATTTTGCTCTCTGATACATTAGCAGAGTTGAAAAATTGGCAAAACAGTTTATTTCGGAGCGGACTGAACCTCTATCAAGGTGACACGGAATGGTATCAAATCGCCTTTACAGTGAAGTACACGTTTAGTCTATTCATTTTATGATTTTTTATGATTTTTAAATTGTGTAAAACAGGAAAAAAGGGGATCCTTGAATGGAAAATACGTAGAGGAGAAAATACGTGACTTGACAGCAGTCAGGTCGGACATTTCCACCCTTCCTAAGGCGCATGCAATAATTGGAAAAAAATCCGAAATCGGGCCACATTCAAACCACTAGGTCCTAACGCATTCATGATGGCCTTAAATATGCTATAGCATGCAAGAAA